GAAGAGTAACTGCTAAACTTAATTTCTAACTCGTTCCTAACCCTACCACCCTTTAATATTGGTGATGCCTCTAAATAGCATACACTGTGACGCAAACATTTCCTCCTCATTCTATAAAATTCTTGTCCATTTCTTTCCACAAAACTTCTGTAGAGGAGCTACCCAATATTTCTATAGGTCTTTTACATTCTGTGGGTACCAGAGAAACATTCAAACCATACAACCAGAAAAAGAAGGTGGGTATGTCATTTAGTAATAGTGGGGGAATGCCACTTTTTATACCATTTTGTCTGTGCCTCATTATTGTTAATATGACACAATCTACTCATATCCACCAAGTATCTCTTTACTACTCTCTGGGTCACCCACAGTTTTGATTTAATAATCACCTACAAATGCCTGCTATGTACAGTAAAGAATTATGACAGGAACTAGGTTTATAAAACAAAACAAAAAAATTCCCTGCCTTCAAGGACCTTACATTTTTATTACAGGGCACATAATATTTACTTAGATAAATAAGTAAATACAGGATGTTGAGAAGGGAGCTGATTAGGTAGCAAGCTCGGGCCTAACAGTTGGGGCCTACCGGCAGGAACACTAAAATCATTTAAACAGCCTGCCAGTGGGATATTAAAAAAAAAAATACAGTTGGGAGCTTTGGAGTTGCCCCCTCTCTTGATAAGACCCTGTGAGAGAATATAATGCCCTGGCTCCAAAAACACAGTACTACTCTCTACTCAGATACAGTACAACATCGATAGTGCATGGGAAGAAGGTTCCTTGTGACAGAGTGGGGATAGGTGCTCTGTCTCCCTACTTGGACCACCACCCGTTCCCTCTCCTCGATCAGTGTGAGCGTGAGTGTGAGTGTGTGTATACCCTGCTGTGCCACTGCACTGCACTGCCCAGCCACTCCCACACCTATAACTTCCCCTGAAAGACTAATAAACCATTGCAGTGATCAGCATTCCAGGTGTCTCTCCTTCCTTGTGGAATCTGAACCCACTGGCTAGTTTAGGCAGCTCAGGAGTAAGTACTAAAAAACTGGATTAAGGAAAGGATTCCCATAGGAAATAAAGTAGAAGTATCAGAGTAGCAAGTAGGCCAATTTGGCTGGAATGGAAAGTGGGTGAAGCAAAAGAATGAGAAATAAGTCTAGAACGGTAGGCTGGAGCCAGACTAAATAGCTTTAAATGCCAGTTAAGTTTGCTTTATGGTATTAGTTTAGCAACTATGTGGAAGGACAGATAAGAGAGAAGAGTGTGGAAGCTGGGAAACCAATTGCAGCACTTTTGCAATAGTCCAGAAGAGATGATTCTTCAAGGACCTTGTTCTGTGTTCTTCCAATGATGCTATACAATTGCAAATTAGTGATGTGGAAATGATGAGTCTATGTGACAGAGAGCAGCTTGAGACTACTGAAAGTCTTATATAATTTCCCAAATGCGACAGTCTATTTTTTTCTGTGCTAGGAAATTTGGGGAGATAGAATGTTTACATAAGACACTATTTCAGGATATACTGCCTACACTCCAATTATTATCCTTTTCTCCCCATCACAACAGCCTTGGATGATGCCCCTAAATCTCCTTGTTCTGAGACATGAGTTTTCAGGTATCAGGCCTCCACACCACTTCCAAGCCATCTTGATGGCACCCAGTACCTCTTCCATACTCCAGCTCCTTTTTGTGTGTTGTCTTACCCATTAGAATGTAAGCACCTTGAAGGCAAGGACCATCTTGCTTGTTTGTATGTGTATTCCTCAGTGCTTAACACAGCACCCAGCATATAAGTGTTTTATCTCTCTACCTCATGGAACTTTCACTCCAATGGTAAGAAAAAGGGTTGAAGGTCCAGGGAATGCTTTATGGAAGAAAGAACATTTGAGTCTGGCTTTACAGGACAGGTAGGAATAAAACAGGTGAAGAGGGACACAAAGGGCATTCTGATTATAGGAAACAATGTGAGCCAAGTCACAGGGTCAGGGGGTCAGATGACATCTAGAATACCATTTTCAGTTTGGGCCCATATGGATGTAACCTGTATTAAAGTGGTGACTGCAAAAATAGGAGTGGGGCACAGATTTAGAGGATATTATAGAGGTAGAAGCAATAAAATTTGGTAACTCATTAGATGAGGAGTGAGGGAAGACAAAGGTAATCCTAAATAGAAGACTTCTTGCTCTTTCTAGCACACGACACTCCATCTCTTAACTCTGTGGCTTTTCAGTGGTGGTTCTCATGCTTAGAATGCTCTCTCTCCTTTCCTCTGCATTCTCATGTGCAAGGATTTCTTTAAGCCACAGCTCAAATCCCACCTTCTGCAACATGAGGCCTTAATTTTCTCAATGAAAGAGGAGCCGAGATCATTTGAAGTAAATATGAGGGTCTGGAAGTATGGTTGGGAAGAATGGACAAGTGAAGGAAATGAAATAGGTAGTCAATGTAGAACAGAACTATTCAGCTGTAGCAAGGGCTGCCTACAGCAGGCATTTAATGACTGTTTACTGAAATGAATGTAAACTAAGCTTCTTTTCACAGTAAAGTTTGCTCATTTTCATGATTTTCCTACATTGGTGCTCAGAGACCCTGACAGCAGTAGCCAAGAAATCAGATGGTGGGGAAAACCCAGGGATGAAGATTTGCAGGTCAAAAATGGCAGATGGCTAGAGTTCGGGGGAAGGAAAAAAGGACTACGGAGTAACAGCTTTTGAAGGATTATAGAGGCAAACCTTGAGGTCAAGGCCAGGTAAGAAGTTAAGTCAAGTTAGTCAGGAAGTTAACAATCATTTACCAAGTGGCTACTATATGCCAAGCACTGAAAGGCAAAAATAGTCCCTGCCTTCAAGGAGCTCACAATCTAATGCGGTAGGCAACATACATACATAAATATCTATATCTATATCTATATATAGATATATAGATATAGATATAGATATCTGGTAGAGTTGAGATAACCTCATATGAAAAGCACTAGCGCTAAAGGAAACTGGGAAAAAATTTCTTGCAGAAGGTGAGATTTTAGTTGGGACTTGAAAGAAACCAGGAGGCTGAGATGAAGGAGAAGATTCCAGGCATGGGGGACAGCTGGTGAAAATGCAGGAGTTGGGAGATGGAGTGTCATATGGATTGTAGAATGTGCGGATGGGAATAAGGAGTAATAAGACTAGAAAGGCAGAAGGGGTCAGTTTATGAATGGTTTAAAAAGCCAAAAAGAGGATTTTATATCTGATCTTGGAGGCAACAGGGAACCAAAATAGTTTACTGAAGGGGGGTAGAGGGTGGTGGTGTAACAGCCAGACCTGTGCTTTAGGAAGATCACTTTGATAGCTGAATAGAGGATGGTCAGAAGTCAGAATGCATGAGAGGAACCACAACAATATGAACAAGTTAATGGATTGAAGGCCATGTAAAATAAGGGTAACCTTATTACCCTAAGAATGAAAATGGGAAGGATGGAAGAATAGGAGATTATAGTTTGAGAGTGAAACTTTAAAGTTTCAAATAAAGTGGTATTTAATGTGTGACCATGCAGGTATGTAGTTAGAGAAGGATACAGAAGAAGGTTGGTAGGGTTGAGGAACTGAGGTCAGGTATTTAGACAATACAACAGGTGATGGGGAGATGAAGACCATAAGATAGGCTTTAAAATCACTGGGAAAGTTGTGAAAGTGACCTGGAAGTAGGTAGATAAACAAAAGGAATGGGGGAGAGGATGGTCTACAATGAATGCATAGATGGAAGATTATTTCTAGATATGATGATAAAAGAATGGTTTAGAAACAGCAATGGGGAGAGTAAGATGCATGCCCACCTAAAACTACTATGAGTCAGGGTAAACAAGAAGAACATGTAAGAGAAAGTTGTAAGGGATGTGACTTCAGAAAAGAACAGAGTTTTCCTTAAAGTGAAGAATAGAAGCAGCACTGGTTCAAAGTTCAAGGCTATCAAGAAAGTTTCCTGACAACAAAGTAAAAGTTATTTGGGCACAGAGTTATATGCTAGGAGATATGGATACATCCTTAATTACTGGAACAGACAGTAAATGAGAGGTTAGGTTTGTAGACAGATGAGCCAGGTCAACATTTATGTCATGACTTAAAGCAAAGCACTTTATATGCATGAATTCATTTGAGACTCATAAAAACAGAGGCAAGTACTATCTATATTAATTCTTATTTTACAAATGATGAAGGTGGGGTTAAAGGTGAAGTAACTATCCTAAAGCCACAAAACTAGTAACAATGTGAGGTTTTCTATTATCCAAATACAACACTCTACCCATTATGCCACTTTGCCTCTGAACTCTTTGCTACTTAGCTCAAGGCTGGTAGGGCCTAACTCTATAAATTATGATACTACATAGCACAGAAGTGTCTTTAATGGAAATATCTCAAGATACCCAATGGAATTTTTGTTTACCTATGTAACCTATATTATGGCTAGAGGGAGCATGGTACAGGGTTCAATTGAAACAGACACTTTAATTCACAACCTGACAAACAAAACAAAATCTCTTCATAAAATGATTTCTATCCAATCTTCAGTTCATTAATGAAGAAATGCCTTTCTCCTACAAGTGTAGGAGAAGCTTATTCTAGGCATTCTTATCAACCATTCATTTTCCTGGTGCTAATGTGCAGACAGCTCAAAACAAAAAATTAAGTGCTTTCTTTATGTAAGACACTGGGGATACGACGACAACAATAAATCCTGCCAGTTCACCCAGAGATTACATTTTATTGAAGGGCTACAACAAGTACACATATAAGTAAATACAAGGCAATATAAGGAATGAGAAATCAGTAAAGTGAGGTGGGGTCCTGGGAAAAGACTTAAGTAAGAGCAGCACCTGAGCTAAGACTTGAAAAAAACATATTTCTGGCACCAGGAGGTTGGTGATGGTGGGGTCACCTGATGTAAAGGCACAAAGACTGAAGATTATCAAGCTGAGCCTAGAAAATAGTAAGCCATGTTATCTGGAAATGTGGAGTGAGTGAAGAAGAATAATATGAATTAAATCTGGAAAAGAAGACAGAAGACAGGCTGATAAGTTCATATTTCATTGTAGCTAGGTAGGTGGTGTAGTCTTTTTCTTTTTTTTTTCTGATTTATTAAGACATTTTCCACAAGATTTCTTCAACTATAAGTTCTTTGAAACGATATCATCATTTTTTGCCAGCCAGAGAACAGAGTTATCAGATTCTCCCATTCTACAAATTGCTCCACAAATTGCATAAGTTTTAAACTGGCTACTGAATCTGCCCGTGACCTTGTCAACCTCGGCCATGTTCATCTGCATGGAAGTGTGGTCCTTGGCCCTGATGATCCTGTTGCTCGCGGAGCATTTCCGTGGCACATACAGATCCACGAACTCACTGGCGTCATTGTGCATGTCAGAAGCTGAGGGGGCCCAGTACAAACACAAAAGCAGTGGAAGAGAAAAAGGAAGTGGTGCAGTCTTTTTCAACAATCAAAAAGGTGTCTCTACCTATGGATATCACCAGGTGATCAATACTGAAAAAAGATTGATTACATATTTTGCAGCCAAAGGTGGAGAAGCTCTATAGAGTCAGCTAAAATAAGGAACTGACTGTGGGTCTGATCATGAGCTTCTTATTGCAAAATTCAGACCTAAATTGAAGAAAGTAGGGAAAACCACCAGACCATATAGGTATGGCCTAAATAACATACCTTAAGAATGTGAAGTGATGAACAGATTTAAGAGATTAAATCTGGCAGATGGGTAGTTATGGACAGAGGTTCATAATACTACACAGGAGGCAGCAACAAAAACATTCCAAAGAAAAAAAGAACAAGAAAGCAAAATGGCTGGCTGATGAGGTTTTATGAATAGTTGAAGAAAAAAGGAAAGTAAAAGAGAAAGAAGAAAGGGAAAGATATTCAACATAAAGTTTTCTTAAATGCAAAGAAACAGAACGAAACAAGTGAATGCGAAAGACAAGAGACCTCTTCAAGAAAATTACAACAAAATGGGCATGCAAAAATGGGCATGATAAAAGACAAAACGGTAGGGATTTAACAGAAGTAGAAGAGAAAAAGTGGCAAGAATATATATATAAACTATACAAGAAAAATCTTAGTATCATCAATAATTATGATGGTGTGGTTACTGATCTAAAGTCAGACATCCTGGAGAATGAAGTCAAGTGGGCTTTAGGAAGCTTTGGTTAACAATGAGGCTTGTGGAAATAATGGAATTCCAACTGAGCTTTTTAAGGTACTAAAAGATGATGCTGTTAAACTTCTGCACTCAACATGCCACCAAATTTGGAAACTCAACAGTGGCCACTGGATTGGAAAAAACCAGTATACATTCCAGTCCTAAATAAAGGCAATGCCAAAGAAAGATCAAATTACTGAACAATTGTGCTCATTTCACATGCCAGCAAGGTTATGTGCTTAAAACACTGTAAGTTAGGCTTCAGCAATATGTGAACCAAGAATTACCAGAAGAGCAGGCTGGTTTTCAAAGAGGCAGAGAAACTAGAGACAAAACTAAAACATTTGCTGGATTATGGAGAAAGCAAGGGAATTCCAGAAAAAGATCTACTTCTGCTTCACTGATTCCACTAAAGTTTTTGACTATGTGGATCACAGCAAAATGTGGCAAGTCCTCAAAGAGATGGAGAGTACCAGATCATCTTTCTTGTCTCCTGAAGAACTTCTATGTGGGCCAAAAGGCAACAATTAGAACCAAACATGGAACAACTGATTGGTTTAAGATTGGAAAGGGAGTATGACAAGCCTGTATATTGTCACCTTATTTATTTAACTTATATGTAAAGTACATCATGCAAAATGCCAGGTTGGATGAATCAAAAGCTGGAATTCAACTTGCTGGGAGAATTAGCAACAATCTCAGATATGCAGACAATACTACTCTGATGGCAGAAAGGGAAGAATTTAGAAGCCTCTTGATGAGGGTGAAAGCAGAGTGTAAAAGCCGTCTTGATGCTTAACATCAAAAAAACTAATCTCAATAACTGGTCTCATCACTTCCTGGCAAACAGGTGGAGAAGAAATGGAAGCAGTTTCAGATTTTATAGGGCTCAAAGATCACTGCAGATGGCAACTGCAGTCATGAAACTAAAAGACACTTGTTCCTTGGAAGAAAAGCTATGGCAAATCTGGACAACATACTAAAAAGCCGAGACATCACTATGCCTACAAAGTTCATTACAGTCAAAGCTATGGTTTGTCCAGTAGCAATGTATGGCTATGAGAGTTAGTCTATAAGGAAAGCTGAGCACTGCAGAATCAATACTTTTGAATTGTGGTGCTGGAGAAGACTTTTGAGAGTCTCTCGGACAGCAAAGAGATCAAATCAATCAATACTTAAAGAAATTAATTCAGACTATTCACTGGAACATCAAATACCGAGACAGAAATATTTACTTCACTACAGAATGAGAAGATAGGATTCACTGGAAAAGACCCTAGAGAAAGACTGAAGGCAAAAGGAGAAAGCAAGGCAGAAGATGAGATGGACAGATAGTGTCATGGAAGCAATCAAAATGAGACTGGACAAACTTTGAGAGAGAGTGAAAGACAGAAGGGCCTGGTGTCTCTTGTTCCATAGGTTATGAAGAGTTGTACATGACTAATGACTGAACAACAGCAGATGGTACAGTGGCTGGAGTGCTGGACTTGAAATAAGGAAGATGAGTTCAATCCTGCCTCAGATACTTACTGATCTTGGATAAGTCATTTCACCCCTCTCACCCTCATTTTCTTCAGCTGTAATAAATGGGGGTGGTAATAAAAGCACTTAACTCAAAGTCCTTGTGAGGATATAATGAGATAACATATGTAAAGCGCTCTGCAAACCTTTAAGTGACATGGTCAGATGCCTATTTGACAGCTATGCGGGAGATAAATTAGAAAAGTGAAGAGACTTGAAGCAGGGAGATTAGGCCTCAACTCACTTAGTAGGTGTGCAAAGGGAAAAGGAACACCACCATTAGGCCATACAGAGTGGAGAAGTACAGCAGAATCCATGGGCCAGGAGGCAGAGAGAAGGGTCAGAACTTCCTGAAGCTTTTATATGCATACAGGCATATAAAAGGATGGTGGTTCCCTCAATAGAAACAGAAAAGTGCATAAGAGGGGAGCAAGACAACAGGTTCAGTTTTAGATACTACAGATTTGAGATGTTGAGAAGAAATACCCAGCAGATGGTTGGAGAACAGACTTGGGAGTCATTTGTGTAGAGATAAATAAACTCATGGCAGTCAATGGGAATGACCCAGAATGTAGAGTGAGAAGAACTTAGGAGACACTCTCGTTTAACGAGGACATGTAATGATCTAGCAATACAGATCAAGATTCCATCAACAATATATGTTCAGCCAGGGCTAACATGGAAGTGGGGGCAGCCAGGTGGCACAGTGGATAGAATGCTGGACCTGGAGTCAGGAAGACTCATCTTCATGACTTCCAATCTGGTCTCAGACATGTAATAGCTATGTGACCCTCGGTAAGTCACCTAATGCTGTTTGCCTCAATTTCCTCATCTGTAAAATGAGCTGAAGAAGGAAATGAAAAAATACTCCAGTATCTTTGCTAAGAAAATCACAAATGAGGTCAGAGAGCATCAGGCACAACTAAAACGACTTAACAACAACAAATATGGAAATGGGCTTTTCGTGACTTCACCAAGTATAACCAATATCATATTGCTTGTTAAAACAGTGTGTGTGTGTATGTGTGTCTATTTAACCCAACAATAAATGTTTAGTGATGGGAACTGGGGTACACTTACCAACCAAGTTTCAGTTATAGCCACATAGTTATGATGGCTCCAAAGAACACTAACCAGTATGGAGAAAAATAGAATCAAACTGAGTTGTCCTGTGCCCTAGAAAAGGAGGGACTGAATCTATTCCATTCAAACTCATTAACCTTGATGCTGAGCCATCCACATACCTTCAAGCATTTGGTATATTCAACTTTAAATTTAGTACATTTTTCAAAAACAAAACGAAACAAAAAATGAAGCAACAACAAAAAAATTCCCACAGTTAAAAGGAACACAGATAATCTCAGACCAACAGTCTTTGGTAGTAGCAATATAGGAAAACACCCCATGGTCACATGAACAACCATCTCTCACCAGGGTGGCACCAAACAGCTTGGTACAAGCAGGTTAAAAAAAAAAATCAGGCATTCCCCTCCTTCAACTGCTCATTCTAGTAAGTATAACTATAACTGTATCATTCACATTATGTAAGAGTCAGGGGATGGGGAAAACTTGAGGTACGCAGTAGGTAATGGCCAGAAGAATCTCTCTGGCACAAATCTTAGGAAACTCCAAAACTCTAAAAGACAAATTAGTTGGTTCTGCTAGATCAGTATGATCTAACTTGACAGATGCAAATGTGTAACTCTCATTCTTGTCCAGTTTCTTATTTTTATAGAAGACCACAAAACTGACCATAAAATAACACACTAACAAGATCTTTACTTCCTTGTACTTAACTACTCTGTTGCTTATTATAAATTTCTCCACTTCCTATAAGCATGAGAGGAAATCAGCTATCAAGCTTACAAAGCTTCTACCAATGAGATTACCTCATATTACTAAGATTTCTCTTACCTGGAAAACATGCTGAAACATAAGACCTAATAAGTCACACGATAAATTGCACCTCCAGAAAGAGTAATAGGGTCTAAATAGAGACAACTAAAACTTTATTGCTCAGAATAAGAATAATTTATAGAGGCTACATAATCCCATACAACTTCAATGTAGTAGATGGATTAGTCACTAATCATTAGTGTTTTATAAACACCCCCCCCCAAATCAACCAACACTTATTGAGTGCCATGCATGTGGCACTCAAAGTATTATGGGGGCACAAAGCAGTAGAAGACATAGTCCTTGCCTTTAAGGAGTTTACAACCAATCTGAGAAAGTGACACAGTTAATGCAACTAAAAACGTATTACCTTATTAATAGTGAGTTATCAATATGGCATTGCCACAAAGTCATCTTCTGTCTACCAACAACTGTCTACAATTAAATCTTTCGGTTTGTAAGCATTTAAAATATGTCTAACGGATAGCACAACTATCATAGAGCTTAATAATTCAAGGATTCACATTTTTTTTGGTTAACAATTATTTACTAGATATTAAAGCTTAATGAAATCTTGCTCACTTCATTCCCCACCTTTACCGGGATTTCACACCCTTCAGTCAACATCTGAAGGCAAAGATGAACCCAGAACTCTCATTTAAGGTTAAGAGATCTTGAAAGGTGCTTACTTTGTAATAAACTCATTTTTCATCCTCTTCTTACAGTGTTAATTCCTTCTATCACACAGTATCTTGACATTAGCCTTCGGCTTCATGGTATCTACTTCCATTTATGCATGTTTAATGGTGTCTGCTTACAATGACATTTAAATGATTCTACCAATACAAAAACAGAAAAAGACCATTTTCCTAGT